GCCACAAATGTGCTTTGGTTTGCATTACCGTGAAATCAATTCATGTGCGTAGAGACAACTTGAAAATCTTGTTCTGGAGACGTACCGACTACAGAGAAGTTCGGTTTTGATAATCTTTCGAGAAGTGTTTGAGGTGTCTCAAATTGTGGGTGCGTGACCTATTTATTGTAAATAATGCAGCAGTTTGAGTTTTGTCCTGAGATAAGGTCAAATCTTAAAGGCATAACAATATATTGGGTCGTCGCAAATGTGCCTCATTTAGCGTGACCCACATACTATAAATAATGCATCAGTTTGAGTCGTGGTCATGTGATGAAGCCAAATCTTATAAAGGCATAACAATATACTGGGTCACAAATGTGCTTCGGTTAGCGTGACCTACATACAAGAAATAAGCATAGGAGTTGTGGTCATGTGATAGTCTAATCTAATTGTAAGTGTGCTTCGATCAGCGTTACCGAAGGATCATTTTATGCGCTAAGAGACAGCTTGAAAACCACCCGTTCTGGCGACTGACCTCATGCAATTTTGAGAATATGTATCTGCTTTCTGAAAAACTAGGAGTAAAAGATTTTATTTCTGGGAGGGAGCTTTAATCAGCCGGCGAGAAGCGCACACGTGAGTCACTAATTTCAGTAGTTCGTAATATGACTTCGTACGCTATTTTTAAAATTATTACGTAGAAAGCTAGTGTTCCTTACCTCTCACTTTAAACACCTGACTTCTGTAACTTAAAGTAAGGAAGATATATCTATCTTTGTGGCAAACTTGAGATCGTACATCGTTTATTAAAGATAACTTGTTTCGTGGTAGTTCGCACACTGACAACACGGCGGAAACAACCACTCGGACGAGAATCCATTCATACTCAGGAGCTGATTGACACCAAACATATCGGCGAGCCTTTGCACCATATGCTCTTCAGTACACTTTAAAATCACTTCTACACAAGGTAACCTTGCCTTAATTAGTAGTTCCACTTTACTTCCGTCATGATCACGATTTCGCCACCCATTTGTACGTGGCTTATTACAAAGTGTATTTCAGGTTTCACTTTGAGTCAAAACTAGACTTTCTTAGTGAAAACATTTAGTGTTTTCTTTCGGATTTATGCTGCGACTAGAGATGTGTCACGCAGTTGTGATCACATGACTAAGATGTGTGTTTATACGAGCGGTCTACAATTCGGTTAAAGGCATCCGTTTGTTTGCTCTTCTTCTTTTTACTGTGACCGCAACCGAACATAGAACCTCACCAAACAAGGAGTATTTCAGCGCTTAATATATATGATGGCAAACAGCAAACAAAAAGTTTTATTTACTTTTTGGTTTCAAGTTAAAAGTTTCAAAATATGCCTAACCCGGTCAGTTTCGTGGCTTGGTGATTTATGTGTGTCGTGTGGACCTTTTGGCGTCTTTGTCAGACGTGACAATGTGTGCAATGCCAAAAAAGTTCGGTCGTACACATTGTACATACTTCTCTCAAATAAGTTAATGTTTCGATTTAACTACAGATCGGTGAGGCTTGTTACTTCGTGGCTGAGCTTGATTTAGCTCTTAGGAACTACTCAGCTGTTTATAATCAATTTCAACGCTCTAAAACGTTGCCCTTTATACGGTACTGTGAGGTGAGGAACTATTTATGGGAAGCCATAAAGTTAGATTTATTCTTCGTTATTTTTCAGCTAGAATGAGCTGCCAGCTTAAGAGGAAAACGGCTGACATCAGTCACGACACCTGCAGCTCTGAAGAGGATAAAGGGGGCAACAAAAAAGTTGGAAAAAAAAACGCGAAGAAAATTAAAAAGTCAAGGATAGAACAAACTTTTAAAATTCACTACAGTGAGTTTCTAACAAGTGCTGACAGAAATGAGCGAAGGAATTCTTCTGTAAAACTGAAATTGGATATAGAAACAAACGAGGATGAGATAAGGAATTCCCTTATTTCAGAGTTACCGCAGCTGAGAGGCAAAAAGTGAGTGTACAACTTGTAAGTTTCATCCCTCTGACAAACGAGGCAACAGACTCTCCCATCCAGGGGGGTTTCTTGTATTCCCGTTTTCAGTCCAAGATGGTTATCTAGTTTGATAATATGAATATACGAAAATTGTATATTTGAATTGTGGGTTAAAAAATGAATATTAAAGCGATCTTCGCAGTAATTAACACTACTTGAGTGGTAGTGAAAATAAGGCCTGAAAAAAATTCAGGCCTGTATGGAATTTGAGCCAATGACCTCTGCGATACCGGTGCAGTGCCCTACCAACTAAGCTGAAAAACCAAATAAGAGCTGTTCATAATGCCGAGGTGATGCCTTTCCTTTTGCATTAAAAATCACTTAAAAAAAATTAAAATGAAAATTTTCACTAACTTTCGAAAACATCCTTAAAACAGGAGGTCAAATAGATTTTTTGCCTTTTAGCAGGTCGGTTATGTCTAACTTAATTTTTTTTTTCAAATTTCATAGCTTTTCGTTTTTCACCAAGGATAATGATGGCAGATATTACAGCTGCCCGTGCAAACTCAAATGCGATGGAAAGGATCATATTCCAGCAGAGTGGAATGCAAGAAATATTTCCAGGGCGGCAAGATCGAATAGAACTGTATATATCTCAATCGAGGTAAGAGACTTAATCAAGTGTCCTTGTCTGGAAAAGTGTTCCAGGAGCCAAAAGTGGTGCCCGACCGATTCAGCTGAAACTTGGCACAAAAGCTGGGTGTGAGAAGATCTTTCAAAACCCGCTTTGGCTCACCTCTCTGACTGTTTGTTTTGGAGTTTCAGGGGGGTCCCGTTTGTGGCCTATGGAGCACCAAAAATTCATCCTTCTAGGTGGCATTTTGAAAGTGTTGTAAAACTCCATTGGTAAATTATGCTGCCAAATGAGTTTGAACTTGGACTCTACTATAGTAGAGCTTTTACTTTTAAGTGTAACTTTGTCCTCAACTGATTAGACTAAAGTTAGGTCTAATTTGAGGTCAAAATCAACACTCAAAATTGCCATTTTTCATATAATCGCAAAATTCAACTGCCTTCTTGCATAACTTCCATACCAAATATATCATGTACTTATC